AGCGCGGGGAGCGGGGCCGGTGTGCGGGAGGGCGGCGAGAGGCGCCCGGGGCCCGCGGGGCGGAGGGCGGGGGTGTGTGTGTGTGTGTGCCCGCGCCCAGCGATGAACTTGGTTCTCAGTAGCACTTCCCATCAGGCTTTCGGGGCGGCGGGTTCCCTTCCCTCCTCCAGCAGACCCTGGGGGCTTTGAGCAGTGAGGGGCGAGGGGGCCCTTTTCTCTTTGGCCTCTGCCGTTCGAGTCCCTTTTAGGGSAAGGACGCGGTTAAGACTTAACTGTACTTGGTTTTTCTTTGTCTGGCAATAATTTTCCCTTAGTCGGGGTTTCGTACTGGAAATTGACCTTTGCCACCCAAGCATCCCCCCATGTGGCAGTTCCAGATAGGAGGAGAATCCCCCTGAATACACCAGAAAGTTGTGCAAATGTGGTTTAAAAGCAGAGTGGAGCAGTMAATTTAAGTTGTACTAAAAGATTTCCTGCAATTGCCAGGATTTGAAGGGAATTTTTAATGCCCTCCTTGAAGACATGATCCTGTTTTAGAATTGGTGCTGTCAGTGCTCACACTTGCTGTAGACAGTGACAGTGTTGGATTTTTTAGTAGTGTCTCAAATGATGTGTGGCCGTTTAAGCCTCAGTCCTTTTAACAACACTCTGTGTTCAGTAAACACTATGCTGCAAATGGGTCAAGTGGCAAACTTGAATTCTAAGGGCTTTGCCCAGTGTCAGTGCCCGATGTGGAAAAAATTCCCCTGCCTGTGGCTCAGTGTGTCAGAAAGGGAAGCACAGAGCTGTACAGGTGGGGATCGGGAGGAAGCTACAATGTAATGTACATATAAATGTACATAATATGTTAACCCTGTAGTGTGAATATCATGGGAAAACTGCAATAAGCAAATACTGCATTTAAAAAATCCTAACACGTGTAGTATTGAATCACATTCTTCCTGAGTGTTTTTGTCCCTTTTCAAGGTCATATGCTAGGAAAAGATAAAAGATTTATTTTAAGCTTTTGCTGAGTAATAAGGACTTGGGAAACATATGTCTCTCTGCAGGTTGAAGAGTGTGTTTCAGAATTTTTCTGCTTGGRAAAACTAAAGTTGAAGCAGCAATGAACTGCCTTTAAATTAAATTACATCCTTGTGAATGTAACTTAATGTTTTCATACATTAAGAAAGAATAATTACATAATGGGKTTTTTGAGACTAAAAAACCTGGGATGATTTTTTAAAAGTTGTGATTACTCTGTATTTTCCACTTTGTGGCAAAGTGCACATTTCTTAATTTCTTTCTTTTATCTTGATTTGAAAAGTACAGATTTTATTATGATAATTTGCATTAAGCAGAWTTTTACTGGCTTTCATCAGGCTTCATTTTAAGGTTTCCTTCTCTAACAATAATRCATCTCTTTAATTAGGGATTCTATGGGTCTTATATTCGTAACTATAGAAATAAGGCTGAATCATATCTCTAAAAAGGTGTAAAGGGTATAAGAAGCTGTCCTTTTCTACTTCTAATTGCAGAATTCCATGCAATAAGATTTCCAGCTATTTTAAATAAATGTTTTGCAGTAATGTGAGAATGTTATATTTCTTTACAAAAAAAGTTTGCTTTCCTTATGTGGGAAATTGAGGCAATGTTACCAGCCTTAGCATGGGCATCAAGGCATTGTCCATTCTCTGTYTTTTTTCTCTCCACTTGGTATGTTTTGTCAAGTTATTTGTTAGTTTCCTGCTGAGGYTATGTAGTGAAGTTGGCTTTTATTTCAGTTTAAATAGGGTGTATTTTGGTTTAGTTTGGAATTCTTGTTAGRAATAGCCTGATTCAGACAAACTCTTTCTTGTCCCGATTGGTTAAAACATAACTGAAGGTTCTCTTGTCTGTAGGCAAGTCTTGATCCTTTGAACGTTGGTTCTCAGATCTRTTTGAGATGATGCTGTGCTTTAGTGTCTGTTTTGTGAACAGCTGAATTATCTTCCCTCCCTTTTCACTTGGAAACAGTAGTTGCTTTATTAAAAACAACATTAATTTCCCAGCTTRTGGGAATCCCATAATGGATCATAGTCAGCTGACAGTCCCTGTTCTTGTTTCAGTACCTGCTGCAAGTGACCTTGGTACTTGCCAGAAGTGTAAAGCAATCAGATACCAAATTGTCTAGCTGTGTAAATTTATTGTGCTATTTTGGTATCRTAGCAGATGTGTTCATTAACTTCATGAAGAAAACTTACCTATTGGACCATAGGTTGTGATATGTTGAGGCATTTTTTCTGCCCTTTCATGATATAAAGCCTGTAAGAAACACATTTTGTGGAAAGCAAGAGCAGTCAGAGTTGCGTTGTGACCCCTGGTTTGTGGCATTCTAAACAAGAAGCTTTGTGTTGTAGAGTTGAAGTAACCTTTTACGTGATAACTCGGAGTTATTGGACATGGTGATGCTTCACTTACTGACTTTTGTGATAATTGTTTCAAAGGAATCACCTTACTGAGTTAGATACATTTTACCAYTATAAGATTGTCTGGAGGTGTAAGTTACATTGGGTAACACCTGTTCCTTTTTCTTAGAACCAACMCAGATATACAGATTTCTACGTACCCGGAATCTAATAGCAGTGAGTAATTGGTTTTATCATTCCTTTCATTTAGACTTGTAGAAAATTTTAATTAAAGCATAACCTTTTTCTTCTTTTTCCCCCTCCAGCCAATATTTTTGCACAGAACTCTCACTTACATGTCCCACAGAAACTCACGAACAAATATCAAAAGGTAAAATTGTCTTTATCAAGTAATCCTAAAATGTTCACCAAGTAGCAGAAGTCCAAAAAATGGTGGAGGGTGACCTCCTATTTTCTTTTTGAAGAAATGCATAMATCAGTGTACAGTTGATTTCTGAGACCTAAGAGATTTTTTTTGCAATGTTAAGAGTATCTGTAGCTTTATCCGTGTGACTTCTGTCGGTACTGGGAGTGTTCAAATGTGGAGAACTGTCTGCAGAATCCTGACTAATTCTCCCATGTTTGTTTTCTATTTTGAAGGAGAACTTATTAAAAAAACCAAACAAAACTGTATTTCATCCCAACTCTTATAATCAATGGTGCTTAATCATAATCATATGAAACATTTTTTTAAACTGTTACATAACCACTTGTTTTAAGAAAAACCAGAACCCAAATACAAAAATTTTAGCTTTGTTAATTAGTCTTGAAAGAATCCAATAATTATTTCTATAGTTATTTAAAAAGCTGAAAAATTAAAGAGATCTGATTGTAGCATATTACAAGAACTCATGCAAATACTTTAAAAAGGTTGCTTTGAACTGGATATACCCAGAGAGTTGGGCTTCAGTTTTGATATTGCAGAACAGTCATTCCTGTCATGTGAGGTGCTACAGCTGCCTGTCAGTGGACCTGGAAACATAGAAACACTGCAGAGGGACAAGTGCAGTGTACATTATTTATTAGCAGGATCACAAGGCCCTTTCAGTTACTTCCCCTTCACTGAAAATTATGTTACAGTTTGGATTTTTTTTTGTAACCTGAGCATTTAGTTTAAAATATTGTAGCACCAAAGTTCTTATTGCTTGGAAACAGTTGCTGTGGGACTTAAGTACARTAAATATGCAACAAAATGTGATTATGCAGACAATTCTAATTTAAACTTCGTATTTATATCTAAGGGAGGTAGTATTTGCACTATCTGTAGATCAATAGAAATTGCATATTTTTATTTACATTGAAGGAGCTATTTTATGGCAGTGTTGGAGCTTTTGGATATTGTTTMATGTTCTTGCTGTGAGTTTTGATGCCCACAATGTAACGTTTTCTTCAAACTGAATCCGTAACATTTGACTTCAGGTACTTAGGACATATAAGAAACAGATTTTTTTAAACTTGAATTTGCTGCTTATGTTTTTAATTAGCAGTTGCCAAAATTAATTTTTTGCTTATTTTAAAGAAAGGCAGAACCAAATTTTWAAAAATTATTTTCAGGGTGTTTTGGTTTTTGTGGTTTGGTTTTTCTAACTAGAATTGTACAGCAGGAAGTTCTTGCTTATARCTTAGTTTAATTTATTGCTGATTGAAATGTGTGTGTTACCTGAAAGTGTTCTGTTGAGTATCTTGCTGGGAAGCAAGAAACAATTCTTTGCTCATACATTGTTATCCATTGTTCCAAATTCCAGTTGATACAGCTGCACAAGTAATCTTGGTTTCTGTTTGAAACGTTCTGATTTTTAGTAGTTCCCTAAACACTTTGTTTTAGAACTGTGATTTTGCTTGGGTAGTGTTSTAATAACAGAGAGATTAGTGTTCTAATTACAGCTGTTTCCCTCAATGGTTCTGACAATGCTGACTTACTGCAATCACACTGGTAATTAGGTCTGGGAAGATTARGTAAAATGTTTCAGTATGTTTTCTTTATAAAAACACAATAATGCAACAGGAGTGAGCGAGCACAGTTGAAAGGGAAAAAAGGCAGAAAGTAATTGTGAAGTGTGTTCCCTCCTGRGTTCCCTCCTTGTCCTTTCCCTGCTCTGTCAGTACTTCTCTTTCAGCCTAGTTAAAACCACAGAATTTGTAATTTAAAGGTAGTTTGGACTGAAAGATTGGCAAAGAGTCTGAACTGCACTTCCCCAGGGGTTTAGCAGGACTGTTGTTTGCTGATCTGTGCTGGTAAAAACTTTCAGATATCCACAAGAATCACTGTTCTTCATTCAGTAAAAGTAGCTGAGGTAAATGATCTTGTTGTTTCAGTKAAAAAGGGACTTGAAAGAAAATATCTGAACTAAAGAAGATCATCCTGAGGTTTATATTAAGAAAAATCTATGCTCCTGGCTTCAGTATGTGAAAGTGTTAGTAGAATTCTCTTTTGCAAAGAAATCTCTCTTGKAACTGCATCACTGTTAGCCTGCTTATGTAGACAATACATGTGTACTAATTTATTCCCCTAGAACTCCTAAATTTTGTCATTTTTAAATGCTAATAATTGTTTTGATTGCCATTTCAGTAAACGGTATCATAAATAAAATATAAAGATTATTCTCCAAACTTCAGACAATTGCTTAACAATAGTAACTRTTGCTCCACATCTTTTACCTCCAGCTCTATGATAGTCTGAGAAAAATGCCAGAAAAATTTATCACTTGGAGGTAGGGAACTAAAACTGCATTTTTACCAAGAAATTATCTGTTGATATTGCCCCACATGTTTAATACTGAGAAAGTGTTTAGAAAACCTAGAATGTTTAGAGCATAGAAAAATGGTTGTATGGAGTAGTTAATGGGCCTGTGGCAACCTGGGGTAAGAAGGTGTTGAAGCTGCTGCTTTTTTGGAGAGGTGATGGCTTTGGTCAGCTGATATTTGCTGGAGAATTGAACTGGACTTTCTGCCTCTGGATCTGTCTTCAGGTGTTAGTGTACTATTAGAGCAAATGATGGTGTTGGAAAGAAGTTACTGTTAATAACACTGCTTCACATACAGTATTTGGGTAAAGGAGTAATTATTTATTGGCAAAATAATGGCGTGCTACGATGTGACTTCTAACACTTTGCTAATTATTACTTTCCTTGTCTGGAGTAAGAGTGGGTGGAGAAAGGAATGCACAAGATGCACATACTTGTTACACAAGTAAATGCTGTCTTGAAAATCCTCAGTGTGAGGGATGTTATTACAAAACTTAATTTTGTCTGTTGTKCATGGGAACATGGTAACTTGAATAGTAATTAGTTTTAAAGGAAKTTCTCTTCTCAAAAATTAACTTCAAAGGCAAACATTTTTTCTTGGTTGCTATTTTTAGTTACTCTGGAAGATTTTTTTTAGGAGGACTTTCTTGTTTTAACTAACCTGAGTCTGGATTTAGCAAAGGTTGTGCCACTGTTCTTTTGGGATCAATAATGGTTGCATATTAAATACAAGTTGTGYCAGATATTAGTATATTTTTTTAAAAGTTGTTAACTTTCCCCCATTCTGGGATCTTGTTTGTCTCTTAGCTGGGTTTTGGCTCCTATTCYGATCATGACATAACTTTGCTCTAAAGTGTTTTAAGCAATTCCTCAGTCTGGARCAAGCTCTCTAAACTTGCTGTTCTGCAGAACAGGAGCTGATTTTGATGAGCTGGAGCAAAGCGCACGCAGAGATATTTTCACCTTAGAATTTGAAACTTTTAGCAAATTGTTCCGTTCTTAAAGTCTCTTGCTTTAAAGCTGAGCACTGTAACGTTCATTTTAACAATCCCACATTTTAGTGTAGGTGAGTTAGTTCTCCAGTCTGTCATACGTGTGAATCTTGGGCTGAGTAGAGCTTTGAATCAGTGATTGTTTACTACACAAATCATAATTGTTTTTCTCCTTGTTATCTGAGTACAGCCCTGTAGTTTTTGTTGCTCAGTGTTGCTGTTTAGTCACCGCGTGATGTGTAACTCAATCATTCACAAGCATTACGTGCTGACTGTGGACAGTGTGACATCAGTGTATCTTCAGTCAGGGTATTTCTGTAGACAAATGCTTCCCACTTCCCCAGAGCACGTTGCTGTTCCCTCTGCAAGAAATCCAGTGTTTGGCAACTGTTTATGTTCCTCCTCCTCCTCCATTTTTTTTAAGGTATAAATGGAAAGGAAAGATGCCCTCTCACTCCTGTGTTGTCWCACTGTGTTGTTGTTATTTTGGGCACCTAGATCCAAGCATTAACTTAGTTTTCATGAAAAATGGAAAGACCATTCTGTAACATGTTGAATAATTTCTGCTCATGKGTGAGCTTTATTTAGCAATGAACATGAAATTGTGTGTATGGTAGGCCAGGCTGAACATATGAGCGTGAACAGACTGATGTCAGAATTACAGAGAGGAATGATTTGAAGTGGTTATTCCCTATGACATTGTTGTCATTGGGTGTCATTGCCCCCTGTTTCCTGTCAGTGTGCTCCAAAAGTACCTTCAGAATTCATTGCTCTTAGCAATGTGTCCATTTAATAGAAATGTGTGGAGAAATAAGGGTTTGGGATTTTAATTATTTTTTTAGGTCCTGTGTGCAATAGGGTTGCAAGTGTTTTTCAATATTATGATCAAGATTAAAATACTAATGACTGAACGGCTGACATGTCAATTCCTGATATGTATAAGTATCACTAAAGCAGGAAGATTTTCTTGACAAAGCTGAAATGTGGTTAAACATGTTCTTTGCAAGGGTTTCAATATGTTGCTGTTAAATGAAACTTCTTATGAGTAGTAGGATTACTGTTGCAAGGTCTGRGTTTAATTCCTGGTATTATTTTTGATACTGCTTGGGAAAGTTGTGTCTCTTACAACACAGGCATGATACTAAGTTGAAAAAAGTATATATGTGTCTAAAGGATGCTTTCTGAAGAGAAGGCTAAAATAGTATATATAGACAGTTTCAGGTGAAAAACCAAGTCAAAGTTCTTTCTGAATAAATTTTCTTGCTCTAAGTTGTGGCTGTTTAAAACTATTCTTTTTGCTTTTTCCTCACAGAAAAACATTCAAAGTAGATGACATGTTATCAAAAGTAGAGAAAATGAAGGGAGAGCAAGAATCTCACAGGTACTGTCCTGTAGTTTATTTGTGTGTTGGTACAAATGAGCACATGGGCTAAATCAAAAGTCCTTTTGAGTGATAAAAAGTCATTATTAGAAGCAAGGTACTTGCTGTTTTGAAATGTTGCTTCCAGAATCTTAAAATGTGTGTRTGTATGCTGGTCACTTAACTTGGAGAAAAGCAGTATTGGGTTAAACTTTCAATATTTSTTGTGGCATCTCTTTAAATGTGTGTAGAAGCCTCAAATAGGTATTTGCCTTAACTTTGTTTTTAGGAGTGTCAGTTGTGTCAATAAGTAATCTCAGTGTGCTGGAATTAAAAGTAAAAAAATGGGTTGAATCTAGGAATATACAAGGTTTTATTACTTGGGGTTTATATTGTTGGATCCTTGCTATTTTTAACCTGTTCTTTTCCTACAGTGTTTGCAAATCATCAGACTACTTTAGAGGCAGTCATGCTAGATACAGTGTTAATTGAAATTAACGTATAAATTTTGTGTTCTAAGAGCTTTTATGGATTTACTGTATATTATTTTTATTAATTTATATTGTGAGTAGTTGCTTTGTTGAAACAACATAGAATATTGATTTGCATTATGCTTTCAAAACTCAAAAATGTGGTTTTGCTTGGAAAAGTAATGGATTAATGATGCAAGTTGGTGTAGATACAGTCCTTTGAATGTTCAAGCTGGTGGGCATTTTTTTGATAATCTCAGAGCTCTTGAGGATGTTTGTGTTTAAAAATAAGTCTGGAGTGTCGGGTTGTATCTGTCTGAGAAGTGAAGTGCACAAAATTGTGTCTGGTGGTGTAGCAGGACAGATGATACCTTGTTCAGTGTGTACTTCAGAAATACTGAAGTGGTTTTGAGACAWTTTTAAATCTAGGCTTATGAGTACTTGTTTGAAACTGAAATGTGCCCTGAATTTTACAATTTTAAATTAGATCGGTCCATGGTCGGCAGAAGAGTCTGGGCTGTGAAACAAAACAGATGCAATTATTATTTTGATTGCATATGTTTTGAATTATATGGRCTTGATGTAACTGATAAGCTTTATTGCTAAAGGTGCAGGTTCCCCCTTGTGAAGGTTCTYATTACCAAGCTTAAAATACTCGTTGGTTTGGTTTTCTGTTCATCTACACCAAGGTTCAGGGTGAAATCTAGAAAATTTCCACCAAAACTGAACTCTGTTGCTGATAAATGTCCAGCAAATGTGTTTGCCTGCCTGTGAAGGCAAGATCTCCTGTCTTCAGGCAATGTCCTTCTGCTATAGTGTTTAATTTTGTTTTAAACATATCAACTCATAGAGTACACAGAGAGAATGAGTCTGTAAAGAGAAAACTTTGCATCARCTGCAACTGCTGTATCCAGGCAATCTCCAAGTTAGAAGGATGGACTGAATCATTAAGAGTTCAGTACTGAACCATCAGTGAAGTGGTTGCTGTGAGAAGAAAACACTGATTTATTCTAACATTTCCTTCTTTTCTTTTTCCCCTGTATAGCTTGTCTGCTCATTTGCAACTTACATTTACTGGGTTCTTCCATAAAAATGGTATGTTTGCTAATTCATTCWTTACATTGGTAATTTGAATAACACCTTTGAAATTAGTAGGATTCTGTGAGGGGAATATTTGAATGTTTTTATTCTTTGCTGTTTRGATGCAGGTTTTAATTTATTTGTTCAGCCTGTCTCATTAGTTATAATTCAGTGGTGCTTWAAAAATGTTGTGGTGTAATTGTGATGTTAAGAAGATAAGCCTTCAGGGTTTTAGTCAAAGCTGATTTGGAGAAATACTTCATAATCATCTATTCAAACTGAAAGATGATTCTTTCTTGAAAAATGTGATTTTCTAGGAGTGTGTCTTTGGTGTTTGAAGTAGCTTTAAAAGACCCMACAGCCCTCAAATAGGTGGAACATTTGGTGGTTTCTAGTTTAAAATAGAAGTGTAAGAAAAATGTCAAATKGAGTCTAGAAATGAAGGAAAGGCCATGTCAATGATATCAAAGCCAAGGAAGTCCTRTTTTAGTGACTGGAAGTCATTCCATGGTGTCTTTCAAGCACATAAGGATTTGCCTCTGAAAATTGGAATATTGGACTTCACAGACCAGGATAAAGAGTTCTGTTGCTCTAAGAGCAAAATCTGTTTGTCCATTAAAATATTTCTAATTTTTTTTATTGTCGTTGCTGATCATAGTGCTGGCAGCGCTGTAACTTCTCTGTTAGAAAAATACGGCAAACTTGCTCTTCTCTCTTTAGAGATCACCTATGCCTTTTAATCTGCTAACATGAGAATAATTAGGATATATTCTCAAGTGGAAATTTGTACCAAGTTTGGGGAGAATTGAAACTAAGAATGTGGTTAGAGGTCTTTGTACATGGAAATGCCTATGGTTAAAAAGTAATTACAGATGGATTTATATCATTGAATAGATCTGTGCTTTTGCAGAACTTAAAATACTTTTCTGTTTAGATAAGCCATCACAAAACTCAGAGAATGAACAAAATTCTGTAACCCTGGAAGTACTGCTGGTGAAAGTTTGCCACAAGAAACGAAAGGTAAAAATTATTTGACAAACTATTAATATATACTAAAGCAAAATGTCTACTTCCTTTTTTCTGTACCTGTGTTTTTTACTCTGATCATTTTGATTATTGCAAATTTTAGCTACCRTGAATCATAAGCAATTTTGCACTTTTTTTTAAAGCATCTTTGAATTTGCTTGCAGTGTTAGCTCTGCTTATTTCACATCATTATCTTCACAACTCTGGAAATATGGGAAGTTGAGTAATGCTTAGTTTTTAACTGGAAAAGGAAAAAWTTGCAGTCAGAACTATGTGTTCTTCCCTAACAATGCTAAACTGATTTGACAYATTTTTGAGAATTACTGTTGTTTCTGGCCAATTTTGTCAATTGCTGTAGTRTGGATAAATATGGTGAGATCAGGAGGTGCTGGTGGTTATTCCAAATGTTTTCCTGCAAATTTCMTATTGAGGCCATCTTGTCTTGTTTTCCCAATTTTACACAATGTTCAATGATCTCTTTGAGAGGTACTGAACATAATAAATCCTGGCTAAGTGGTTCTTTATCTCCCAGATAGCACAAAGTGCACTTTGAAATATTGCAAGGAGACGATAGGAAGCTCTTGAAATATATATATGTATAACCAAAACATTTAATTTCTTCAGGTAAACAGAATTAAATTAGTTTTAATGACTGTTCTACAATCTTTCTAAGTGCTTCACGTTAGTGTTATTTTAATCACAAAGAGAAAGATGGCTGCTGCCAGAAGGGGCTATAGAATGCCAGTTTTATTTACACTTACAAATATCTGGGTTTGCATTTAAAATCTGGGATTGTTCCAGACTTTTTTATTTATATCTGTTACAAGGCTTATTTTAAGTAAGTTGGCAGAAGAAATACAGTTCAGAAATGGTATGAATTTAAACCCTTAATGTCTTTACTTTGAACTCTAAGAATCCTATCCTTATCTTTCTTATTTTGCTGCAGGATGTCAGTTGTCCGATAAGACAGGTTCCTACAGGTAAAAAGCAGGTGCCTTTAAACCCAGACCTCAGCCAAATAAAACCAGGCAACTTCCCATCACTTGCAGTTTCCAGCAATGAGTTTGAACCAAGCAACAGCCATATGGTGAAGTCTTACTCATTGTTATTCAGAGTCACTCGCCCAGGAAGGAGAGAATTTAATGGACTGATCAATGGCGAAACTAATGAAAACATTGGTAACTTCAACCTTTAAATCTACTTTTGCAAGGTTTATCTGGTAGGCACATACAGAGTTGTCTTGATGTGCAGTGTAGGTCACACTGTGACAAGGGCCAGTAATGACTGAGTGATTGAGCTTTTATTTGTTTGCCACCTCTTTTGAGATGGGGCTGAAATTCACTGGTAGGTAGAAATTGTGCTTCTGTTTTTGTGCAAATTTAACACCAGTTGTTCCTAACATGATGGTGAAGGCGTGAGGCAGCAGTGTTGGAGGGTGAGTAGTGYAGGAGAGCCCTGTGGTCACTGAGAGTGTCATTATTCTTCCACCAACACTGGTCACTACTGACTCAACTGTAGGTGCTGTCAGTGTCTCTCAGCAAAACTAAATGGCAGCCAATAGAGAAGATACCTCAATAACAAATTTTTTTAAGCTATTTTATTATTCTTAATGAGATATGTTAAAACACAAATGTTAGGGCCTTGGAGAGTGCATGTAGAATGAAAAGCTTTATTTCTCACTATTTTAGAGCCACAAGAGGAGGAAGATCAAATCCCAMATTCTTTATGCTGACAGAATAATACAATKAAACTAAAWATACATGAGAACATAAGTAAAATRTGATTACTGTGAAGCCAAGTGCTCTTTCCATTGCATTGTCCTTCTCTATTGTGTGGCACACCTGACACAATCGACAGTCAGTTCTATTTGTGAGTGCACAGAGGTGGTTTGATCTTTTGAGTCTGTGTTTATAGAATGATTGAATACCATATTTCTCATTTGCAGATGTCAATGAGGAGCTTCCAGCTAGAAGAAAAAGAAACTCTTCAAATCGTGAAGATGGAGAAAAGACATTCGTAGCACAAATGACTGTATTTGATAAAAACAGGTAATGTTACTAAAAACAAATACAGCTTGCATTGATCATTAGAAATTTGTTTGATAATAGATTTAATATGTTCTTTGTTGCAGTGTAGGTTGTCTTTGGCTGCATTTTAGTTGTTATTTTTTCATAACACATTTTTTACTGAGACCTATTCAGTGATTATTGTGAATTAATTCCCATCTGTGAATGTGAATATTGTCTTTTTAATCTGCATCTGTTTGTCTGTTTCATGCCAGTTTTTTGACAGATGTAATTTTTGTGGTTCTGTTAAAGATCAGTAACAGCATGATTAAAAAGTAAAACAAAGAAAAGGTCTCTGAAATACCCTAACTGCTCACCTTCTGTTCCATTCTCAGACTGTTGCTGATGCAGCTTAATACAGCTCCACCTAATTCTGACAAAATGGTTATAATATACAAATAGAGTTTTAGAACTTGTATTTTGAAAGAGTTTGGTTAAACAAATGTATCTTCTTAGAAGTCTTGACAATATTTTGTTCTTTTCAGTTACTTAATTCCACTGGAGAGCTTTATTATGCTAAACATGATATGAATCATTAAGTGGTTTTGTAGTGATGATATGTAAGCAAAGACATTCTCAGCCATGCTSATGTATAAATGAGACTGATTTGCAKTGGAACCAAATAATTTTWWAAAATGTATGTATTTTTGGTTTAGTCTTTAACATTTATGGATGATGTTTGCCTAAGATTCACATCTAGTTAAATAAATTTGCCTGAAAATATGCCTTCAGCTTATGGAAATCTAATTACTGGGAAATAGTGCATTTTAATAGGCAAACAACAAAAAAGAGCTGTTTGGCACATAATACATATTTTGTCTCGACAGGCGCTTGCAACTTCTGGATGGGGAATATGAAGTGGCCATGCAGGAAATGGAAGAGTGTCCCATTAGCAAGAAAAGAGCAACATGGGAAACGATCCTGGATGGGAAGGTATGGATTGTTTTAATGGTCAAGAAAGAGATCTGTCTTCAGATAAAATGATCTGGTTAAAGGTGGAACTCAGCTTTAAGTGCAATCAGTGGCTCTTCCTCTAAAAAGGGATTGAATTGAACAGGAAGTAATTCTCTTTGGGAATGTATGGACATACATTTTCATTTAGCTTTCAGTTTARAAAGCTTTGGCTACACTGGGTCATTAATAGAAGCAGAAAGAGAATGCTGATAAAATGTAGTGATGAAAAGAAGAGGATGAATCAGTGTAGGAGGATGGGTTGAGACACAGAAATGGATCACTGAGGTGAATCAACACGCAGTGATACAGTGACTGCAGTGACTGTATGTGCTTACAGTCATGCTCACATGTCCTGGGAGAGTATGAGTTGTAAGTGACTGAAGAGAAGAACATGAAGATTCCAGATGGCTGGAAAGTGTTTGTGTCTCAACATGAGGATATAGTAATGAAAAAAGCAGAGATGATCCAAATTATATAGTGAAAATACAGTTATTTGTTCAGTTATCCTGTTCAGCCTTTATCTGGATTAAAGTAAATGACACCAGTCTACATTCTGTGAATATTTTCTCATGGTTTTTTTTGGTGAAGATGCTAACTCTGCTGGGTCTTTTGATTTCCCYCCACTCTCCAGAGGTTGCCTCCATTTGAAACATTTTCTCAGGGACCTACACTTCAGTTTACTCTTCGTTGGACAGGAGACACAAATGATAAGTCTACAGCTCCTATAGCTAAGCCTCTTGCAACACGAAATTCTGAAAGCCTCCCTCAAGAAAACAAGCCCAATTCTGTTAAACCTGCTCAGACTATAGGTAAGTAAACTTTAGTTTTGCRACTGAATAATCATCCCTTGTGTGCTTAGGGCTCACTAGTGCAGCTGCTTCAGGTTATTCTCAACAGGAAAAAGCAAAAATGAGTGGGCTTTGCTGTATCCCTTATTTTGAATGTTATTAAGGTTAAAAGCTAAACAAACATCATGGCAATATTGCAGTGATTGTATACAATGCTTATAAATCCTGCTGTGAAATACATTGGCACAGGTCTGTCAGTAGGATTTCTAGGATTGTCTGCTTTGCCCTCCTCACCCCAATTATTGTTCTGTAAGTTTTTGGATTTATAGGTGCCCTGGTTTCAGGTTAAATAGAGTTAATTTTCTTCTCAGTGGCTGGTATAGTGTTTTGTATTTAGGATGAGAATAATGTTGATAACACTGATGTTTTAGTTGTTGCTAAGCAGTGTTTAGGCTAAGTCAAGGACTTTGCAGCTTCTCACACCACCCCACCATCAAGGAGCTGGKGGACACAAGGAGCTGGGAGGAGGCACAGGCAGGACAGCTGACCCAAATTGGCCAAAGGGATATTCTAGACCATATGGCTTCATGCTCAGTGTAGAAACTGGAGGGAAAATAAACAGTAGGAAATTCTGTCAGAGATTCTGATTTAAAGTTAAAGATCCAGTACATCTTTCCCAATGGTGTATAAATTTGCTGTTGTCATTCTATTTCCCAAGGCAGACCAGTGAAATAAAGACATCAAAGACTTTCTAAATATGGCAGCTTAAACTTTGCTGTAATTGCAAAGTAGTGAAAGTAACTGAGCCGTGGAATGCTGAAGTGTCAGGCCTTCCCTCTTTTTCATATAGCAAGAAGATAAAATTTCCATTCTTCTCCAAAATWTTAAATATTAACTAAGTGCATCTTCTGAAAGATCTCCTTATGTCAGTAGAGCTGAGCCTTGTTTTCCCATCTTTTTCACCATCCAGAAGCAAGTAGGGTTATTTGATTTCTCTTGAGGGTAGATTTTTAAACCTGCTTAGGTACGTGGGGTTTCTTGTTAATTGTATGAAATCAAATAATATGACTGAGATTAAAGTGTGTGGAAGAAACTCAGAAGCAACTGAGTAGTGACATTACAGACTTCTGAACTCAAATGTAAATGCTGKGTTTGAATGCAGCAATCTGAAAGCAGCGATGGTTTTTATTTCACAGCCATAMCTGCTTTTAGCTATACATAAAGAATTCTCTGCTTAAATGGGGTCAGAAAAACATTGCATTTTACCTGACCATTTCTGAGTTATGTGAAGGATTCTTCAAAACTGGGGATAATCTCTTGTTAGAAGTGGGTTTGCCTGTAGGTTTGTGARGGAAGCTGAGCATCAAGACTTTCTTGTTGCTGGTAGGAACCCCTTATATCAAAGGACACTTGAGTAGCCTGTTTCCTTCAGCAGCAGTGCTCTGCTCAGAACTTCCATACTTGAGAAAGGAACAATGTCTGTCTGTTCCTCTGCACCAAAGAAATGTGTGTCTGCATGTGGTTTTTTTCAGCTGTGAAAGAATCCTTGCCGACAGACCTTCAAACAAGAAAAGAGAGAGATGTTTTAAATGAACCTCGACAGAAGTTGCGAATATTTTACCAGGTATTGAAAATAATCAGTAGAAGGAAAAAAAACAGAATCTAAATATTTTGCAGAATTAAAAYGTTCGCTTGGGAGCTGGGTGGAAATTTCCATTTGCCCTTTTAGTGGATGCTTTCTAGAGTCTCAGATTCACAGACTGAAAGCCACTCCACAGGCTACTCTTGACAGAAGTATTTTAGAAAACTAATCTTTCTGGGGGCACATCTGATGTTCTGAAAAACAAAGGACATTCCYTGTTAGACATCTGGAGGGGAACAGGTGGTCTCCTATAGGAAAAAGATTATTGAAGTGCCATTGTTACAGTACACTGAGCTGATGCAGTTCTCCCAAGATCTTACTGAAATGATGTCCACCGTGGTTTTGGGAGTTGGTAAGTTAATGAGTGCAACTCCTTTGGTACTAATGCTGCTCTGCCTGTTCCTCTCTTTGCATCAGTTCCTTTACAACAACAACACGAGGCAGCAGACCGAGGCCCGCGATGATCTGCACTGCCCCTGGTGCACTCTGAACTGTCGGAAACTCTATAGTTTACTCAAACATCTGAAACTCTGCCACAGCAGATTTATCTTCAATTACGTTGTAAGTAATCTTTTTGCAGTCTAGCACTATGAACAATCTGTCACTGACACTACCAATGCAGGGATTCTGTTTCCAGCTTATTAAGTTGTAGAACTGTATCTGCAGGTTAGAAGCTGCTTTCTGTGAATATTTGTATGTTACATGCAGGGGAAATATTGTGGGTTTGATTTTCTTCTTTTAAATACATATATATTRAATGATGTTTATCACTGGAGGATGAATTCTGGCTGTAGCTACTGCTTTTGCATCAATGTGGAATGCAATGTAATTGCATTTGGTGGGAAGTCTCTTGAAGCTCTRGGAAGTTTAGAAATGTTCTTGCTAACAGTCTTGCTGATATTTTCCTTAATTTTGTAATTAATTCTGAGTGGTTTTATATAAAACAGTAAAATAGTACAGAGCAAGGAAGCATTAGTACAGTTCGCTTCTAGAGCTTAAATATTATTTGGGTGCTGTGAAAGGAAACTTAGAGCAATATCAGGTTATTGACATGATATTTAAGGTATTCAGAATTTAAAGGTTACATGTTTAAACATCCTCATTGCCATTGCTAAGTGTATTTGCAATTGTGTCAGTATCATCCAAAAGGTGCTCGGATAGATGTGTCCATCAATGAGTGCTACGATGGCTCCTACGCAGGGAACCCCCAGGACATCCATCGCCAGCCTGGCTTTGCCTTCAGCCGCAACGGGCCCGTCAAAAGAACCCCAATCACACACATACTGGTTTGCAGGTAGGGAGCTGGGAAACCAGAGCTCTTGGTGGATTATGGCCTATGAACCAGATTGGTGAAACTTGGGGATCTGTGAATCTGTAGGTGCATATAGGCATATACACAGTGCTGAAATTCACTGCTGAGACTAAATAAAATGTAACTGAAAGATGATAAAGTCACCCATGATTTTTCTACATCTTTTCATTTGAGATACCCATTCATAACAATGTAGCTCTCTTTAACTGCCTTACTCTAAAGCTTTTCTTCTCCAAAAGGTGAAGTTTGAAGGGTTGGGAGTTTGAAGAGTTGGGTCAGAGCTGGGTTTTTAATGGGGATKATTTCACATTTTGGCACACTATATCTTAAAATAATTTTTATTAATCACTGGCAGTTGTCGATATTTGCATCTCTGATGTGAGATTACTTTCCTTTACCAGGCCAAAGCGCACGAAAGCGAGCATGTCTGAGTTCCTGGAGTCTGAGGACGGAGAGGTGGAGCAGCAGCGGACGTACAGCAGCGGCCACAACCGGCTCTACTTCCACAGYGACACCTGCCTGCCCCTGCGCCCCCAGGAGATGGAGGTGGACAGTGAGGATGAGAAGGACCCGGAATGGCTGCGGGAGAAAACCATTACTGTAATTATCCCATTTGTACAAAGTTATTTTAAGTGGATTGTGGTTTTTGAAAGATGATCTGCAGTTGGTTTAGGGAACAATCGGGCGTACGTTGTAAAAATTCTGCATTTTAAGAGCAGAAAATTTGGCTGAACTACTRTTGATGGAAATTCATGGAATACAAGTTTGGTTTTTTTATGCCTTCAGTTTGCAAAGTTAGTTCAGTCTGCTTTTGTCTGAACAAGTTTTCATTGTGGCTGGTTTTCTCCTTAAAAGGGGTGATGCTGGAATCAGGAGCACACAGTGTGGGCTGTATATAATCAGGATRTAATTTATCATCACAAGTCCCTATATGAAATGCAATTTTGCTAACTTTTGTGACTGCAGAGCCTGAATTTTCTATATATATTTTTGTGTTTAAGTTGAATTTTGGGTATGCTCTCACTRCTTGGCAGCAGACATGCATTTCTGATGGCTGTGTTTGTTTCTTTTCTTGTCCTTCCTCCCTCCCAATCTCCAGCAAATTGAAGAGTTTTCTGATGTTAACGAAGGAGAGAAAGAAGTGATGAAATTATGGAATCTTCATGTTATGAAGCACGGGTATGTTACTGTACTTAGTTTTGATATAAATAAATCATAGTATAGATTTGATTGACCATTTTGCATTGCAATTCACTAAATACTTTAAATTTAGTTTGCTCAGTTGCTCAGGAAAGGGTCATTAAATGATAATTTGTAACAAGCTTTTGAGAGTTTAAGCTTTTAAAATAACTTCTTGTGCTTAGTAGCCTTTGGGCTTTGAAAAGAAAAACTGGACTTTATAATAGCAGATCTTTGCAGTTACATTGATAAACTTTGTTGTAGAGTATTTTTGGTTTTGAAAATGTTCTACTTGCATAATGATGTCTTTGCAATTTGACAGGTTTATTGCTGACAATCAAATGAATCATGCCTGTATGCTGTTTGTTGAAAATTATGGACAAAAAATCATTAAGAAGAACTTGTGTCGAAACTTTATGCTCCACYTGGTCAGCATGCATGACTTTAACCTCATCAGCATCATGTCCATAGACAAAGCTGTGGCCAGGCTCCGAGAGATGCAGCAGAAGTTGGAGAAAGGAGAATCGGCCTCCCCGACAGATGAGGAATCTTCTGAGGAACAAAGTGGGACAGCAAATGGATACAGTGAAAATACCGCCAGAGAGAGGATTTCAGAAGTGGAAAGCATCTCAGGTGTCACCAAACAGAGCAAGAAGCAAAAGCTCTGAAGTCAAAAGTCAATTGTCATTCAACGGACAAGCATTGAAGTGACATTCTAGGGTGCATGAGCTCTATAAAGAATTACACACAGAATACAGAGATTCCAAACAGGCACTGCTGGATGGAAATAAATGATTTCAACAAGGATATTGTTTAAACAGGGTTTTTATTAAGTTACTTATGCAAGTACTACATGTATATTGGTTTTGGTGATKTAATGACAATATTCTAAGAGTTTGAGCATGAAGAGCAATATAAAAATCTTTTTGTAATTTTAGTAATTAGTGTCTTAAGAACTTTATGGAATTTACATAATTTAAGTATATGTAAAACCGTTTTTATATTAAGATTTTTGCATCTGTATCTGGCTGTTTTTCCTACCATGAAGTTGTGAAACATTAGGGAAAGGGGATTGGGATACAGTTTCTGCTTTTCTTATTTAGAAATTCTCCAGTTAGCTTTTTGTGAAAATAACCTCTGACTATTTACAGTTTAACCTTAATCCTTGTATTTGAAATCATTTATCAATTGATCATAAATTACAAATCAATTTTTTTTACACTAAAAATTATCCAAGTTGGCGAACTTAGCACTTCCTTTGTCTTGTGCCTGTTTGGAAAGATCTTGACTTTTCACGTTCCAGACACAGTGAAGTACCACCTTGGCTTTTTGAGGTTAACCAGCAGTTTGGGTTTCGTGGATAATTCTGATGTATCGATCGCCCAGTGTACCATTTTAAACTTGAACATTTTAGCTCCTTTCTATTTTTATTACACATTTACACAGCTAGAAAGGATTTGGGTGCAGCCCCTCATGCCTGGGGTCACCCATCCTGGGGTGCCATGCTAAGGCCGGAGCCTCGTGCCCGTCTGCAGGCGTCGCGTCGCCCACTGTGGGTTTAGCTTTGGCTTTCGAGATGCCACTCTTGAGGGAAAAATGCACTGTAAAATTGGACCAGAAAATGTGTTGCACTTCTTATGTAAGTATTCTGTGATGTATTGTATTCAATACAGATACTAAGATGCTGACTAAACTATATTTGAGCAGTTTTGCACTGCTGTTAACACATTTTATGCATACGTTTACAGATTTTTTCCAATGGAAAGTGGTTTCACTACTGGTACAGTATCAGCACCGAAGGGTTTTATTCCAGCAAGCACTGTGGTTGAGTGACATCACCTCAATTTTTTATTATCCTTAAAATATTTCATTTTTCATATTCTTTATTTATAAAGGAACAATGCTGCTGTAAATACAGGTATTTTTTGTTTTTTATTTCATTCCATCACCATGAGATGCAGTTCCCTATTTGTTGAAGGGGTATATAAGCTTTCTAATGGTGTCTTCAGAAATTTATAAAATGTAAATACTGATTTTGATGGTCCTTAAGATGTGTTTAACTGTGAGACTATTTAACTAATGGTGTGGATGTGATTCGTCATCCAGTATTAAGTTCTTAGTCACTGATTTTGTGTACAAAATAGGAAAGAGGGAAACTGCAGCTTTTCATTACAAACTTCTTGAATTGCCAGCTCTCTGAGTTTTAGCAAACTCTAATTATGCCTCTGGATAGTACATCATGCATTTCTCTCTGGCTTTAATTTGCTAAAGCTGTGCACATATGTAAAAAAATAGATTATTTTAGGGGAGATGTAGTTCTAGAATTATTGCTTATGTCATTTCTTAAGCAGTTATGCTCTTAATGCTTAAAAGAAGGCTAGCATTGTTTGCACAAAAAGTTGGTGATCCCCCCAAAAATAGTAATAAAATTACTTCTGTTCAGTAAACTTTGTATGTCATGTCAATTTATAATAAAAGCTGAAAAAATCCCCTTGTTTTCTATTTATAAAGATGCCTTTTCTATTTGTACCTTTGAAGATGCCATGTAAGCTGGTTAAAAACAATTTGAACGGTACAGTAGATGTAAAAAAAGCAAACCTTCCCCCCCAAAAAATCCCCAAACAAGTTCAGCTGTTTAAGTGAATCATTGTTTTTCATTAAATGTTTTATTTGAAATCAGTTTTTTGTACATGAAGTTCAGTAATGCAAAATCTGCCATGATGGGTGTCCAGTCATTTCATGTGCAGAGATCTCAAGCAGCACCTCTATAAACTCTCTTCTGCATGACTYCTAAAATTTGGATACGTGTTCTTCCTTTGCCAGATTGTTACAGTTCTAACTGAAGGTATCTCCATCAATTTTGCAGGGTTTTATCCAAATTTTAGTAACTTTCATTCTCCTTTCTTGGGGTAGAACTGAATAGCAGAGACATATGTCTAGGTTGTGCTTTACATTTTTGTTTGGAACTGTAATTTATATGAGTGCAAGTGAAACGTATCACGTGTGATGTCAGTTACAGAACTAAGACTTGTGTACTTTTTACATGCAAGTGGTTATTTTTCATTCAGACATTTTACAAAGTATTTGGTTTATATGGAGTAAAGTTTGAATTGGTGTCAGTTTAAAGTCCCACTTGTCTGGGACAGCAGAGGATGGATGCTCCAGGTACTTGGGACCAGTCAGGAATTGCACTGCTTGGTCAGGTGGTGACTGTGGAATGGCAAACACTGGAATGGCAGACACTGGAAGCTTTTTTCCCATGTTAAGATTCAGATAATACAGTGCAGGATGTGCCAGCTGGGTTCTGCAGACACCTCAGGCTGCTGTTGGCTGGTAGGTTTTTGTCCCAAAACATCCAGGTTCTCCTCATCTGGTCTTTAGTATGCTCATGGCAGGTTTTAATGATGTTTTTTATTTGGTAATACAGGTCTGTGAACCCCAACCTGGAACCTAACATGATTTGAATCTTGAATTCAGTGCATTAARTACTATGTTCAAATGTGGTAGATGAAGTTGTTAACCTTCAGTGTACATTGCTTGGAGTGTCTTGAATTTTTTGYAGTCTCTGAATTTAGAGGGGTGGGSTGAAGATTCACTGCCTGGAATGAAGCAGTTGCCCACGATTTGAACTGTTCTGATTATTTACCCAATCAACAAAAGAAAACTCGCAAACCATACAATCCCCCAAAGCAGCAATTTGATTTCACCTTTGGGAATACAGGAGCCATTCTGTGARGACAGTTTTGACAATGTTAAAATGTTAATTTGTTCCAAGTTAAGTATTTTTTAATTCACAGAAGTCTGGTGCCATCATTTACCAGTGCTTGAGTGGAATTTGGTTACAAATCTGTGTTTCACATCCAAGAGAAGAGAGTTTTGGACAGAGGCTTTCCTGACTCTGACCTGCAGTTTTCAGGCTGCTCAATTTGAGAGTGAAGCTGCAGCTCTGGAGGAGAAACACTTGGCATCTTGTCACGAAGGAAGTTCATGTGAATGGAGTATTTATGAGAGAAAGTTGCCAAGTCAGCAACTTCACTCACTGGTTTCACAAGCTGTTTTCCCTTTAAAAGAGGCCAAAGGACTGGAACAGGTTCCAGGTAAAGCAGAACTAAGGGAATGAAGTAAAGCTGTGTGTTAGTCCAACAGGGACTTTATTTGAAGGTGATTAAATGCTTCTGCTGCTGGCCAAAAACTACAGATGTGTAAGAGTTGCACCACTGAATGCAYCAGTAAAAGATGGGAACAGGAAAATGCAGAAGAGACAAATGGGCCRTGATGAAGATTGAGGGAAGTAGGTCATAGATGCTGTAACCAATTTTACTAAAAGAAGGGAAAAATTATTTTTGCAAGAGATGTCAGTTGAAGTCTGGAAATAAGTGCACAGGTGGGAAACCTGGAAATAAACTGGGAGTTCTGAGGGACAGAAGATTAAAAAAAATGGGGAGAAGCTCTTAACAATGACTGCAGTGCTCTAAAAAAAAATTCTTATGTTTTTAGAATGCTGTGGTTCTCAGCTTTATGCCCCAATAAATAATTTCCTGGACAACACACAGTTGAGGGATAAAACTTTTATTTAAAAAAATTCAAATTTCTCTTGACATGTAAGTCTTAGTTGAGGTAAGTGAATGTACTAGCTTAGGAAAACAACTTTGAGGATTGGGTTTCATAAGCCATTAACACTCTGTTGCTTGCAGGGCTCCAAGAGCTAGAGGTGCAAATTGTACAGGAAGTGTCAAGTTTTCCATCCAGCTGAACTCTGCTGCAGAAGAACAGAATTTACACTTTTTAGTCCAAGCTTCTTCCGCTTTTTTTTGCATCCTTTGTTCGTTTAGTGCTCGGGTCTCTTGCCCTGAGATTCTTCACTCCTCCCCTGTTCACAAGGTGCAGCTCCAAGAGGTGGCTCAAAGTACCTCATTTGCAGTTTGGACATCGAGGCTTGTGCCAAGTTCAAATAAAAAACAAAAACACCACAATAACAAAAAGAGAACACACCACTGGCAAACTGCCCTTGTCCAACACTCAGCTGAAGCCTGAAGGCAGAAAAGCTCCTCTGACCATCCTCAGCTCTCCAGGGCAGCAGTAGGGGCTCCATGGCCCTTCACAGTCACCTTCAGCTGCTTTTATGTTTATTCTGAACAACCTGACACAGCATTGCTACCTCTGGAAGTACCTGAATTCAAGGTTTAAGCTTTATTTTCTAATATATGCAAGTAAATATCCTGCAGAATCTACAGTCTGACCAGCCCCTCCAAAAGCAGATGAAAAGGTACCTGACCCGTTGGTACCTCAGAAATGTGGATATTCACAATTTTAGTTTCCATGTGGTAAAAGTACTAAGTTACAACTAGTACCTGATACCTGATGTAAGTAAAACTGCCAGCACTACATGGAGCAAGACTGAAGYCAGCTGCTACCTGGAGTGCCAGCCCGACCCTCTGAGCAGCACTGACACTTTCATCTACTGAACCTTATTGTAAAAGTACTGAAAACACTCTTCACAGGAGAATTAAAGGAACGTTGAAAGCACGATAAGCCAGTATTCTCTTTTTCCCTACCACTGAACTAGTCAAGCTTGAAAAATCCTGAGTACTGCAGGCCCTTTGTTGCTGACAGTGGATGATCTGACCTGCAGCAGTTGAACCTTCCTCGCTTTGTCTTACAACAAATTCCAACCTAATTGTGCCTTGTGCAGGCTCTTTGCATCCATCTAAATCCACACGATTTTTTTATTGTAGATGGTGTAAATACCAACAGCCATTCTCCTTGTCTGAAATTCTTCTACCCCTGCTACACTGCTTGGGGAAAAATTCAGGCAGAATGGCTCATCTTTCTGTACTGTGTGAGTATGGGCAATGTTAATTAATTGTAAAATGAGCTTTTATGCTCTAAGCTTATGGTAGCATAGAGGTCTAATGTGCACGTTGCTACTGAAGGAAAAAAAGGCAGTATGATTGTCTAGGCTTTATAAAAATAATGCTATTCTAACATGATAAAATATATCTAATTTTCATTGAATTTGAGGTAAGAAACCCCTCAGTGAGTGTTACTTATATTCTTTAAATCCAGTAGCATTACAATCTTTCAACCAGGAACAGACTCTCATTGAGACTGAGCTTATCCACCTTCGTTGTTCCTTAGAGGAAAAAGGTGTCACTTTATGAAACTTCTGAACTCACAAGCCMTTTAATTCACCATATTTTTTATCCCATCCTACTCCATGGTGGAGACAGCTTAATTGCCACCATCTATTCAGACCCAGGCCGGGTCTGCCTGAAGCCCACACCCCAAGCCCAACTCTCTCCAGTGGAGCTCCAGCAGCAGCCCCAGCTCAGTGTGTCTGCAGTGTTTGGACCCTGAATGCACAGTGTTCCCAGGCAGAATTTGGGATTGCCAGGAACCCTGCACCTCAGCACAGCACTTGTGCTGTCTCTCAGTGCTAGGAGAGCTCTGAGGAATCAGCTGCTAATCCAGGGGTCAAGCCCAGGTACCAAATTGCTGAGACTTGCAGTGACAGAGGTGACATGTGGATTGTAACCAGGGAAGAGGGTTGGGGTGTACCAGGAAAACATCCTGACCTGTGAATTGTAACCAAGGAAGACAATTGGGGTGTACCAGGATAACATCCTGACCTGTGAATTGTAACCAGGGAAGACAATTGGGGTGTACCAGGAAAACATCCTGACCTGGCTGTAGGTCTGGCTGAGGCAGCTTTGCAGGGTCCATGTAAGCATCACCATGCAGCTACTCTAGAAAACATTCCAAGTAAAACAGTTCAAGAAGTATCAAAATAAGGCACTTAAGTGAGACAATAASGGGCTGGCTCCATGTTTGAGCCCAGGCTGGCTCAGCTGTCCCTGCTCTGGAGGGATGAACAGTACCGTGMGGCTGCGGGCAGACCCCGCCGTCCACTCAGACTCCTAAGGCAGCATCGTGCACAAGGAAGCACAGCAGGACCTTGCTGCTCTAAACACTGTGCTCTGAGTGGTAGAAATACAACTTTGGTCCATTACCACCCCTAAAATGCTTATTTCACAGAGCAGCAGCTTTAAGCGAAGTTAATTCTACACAACGCACGTACCCTGAGACGAGTACAATGAAATACTGACAAAAATCAAGTCTGGAGGAAAAAAAAAAAGGAAAGGTCTGATGAACTGCTTAAATTAATTTGCCTACACAAATGCTTGTTTCTAGCTTTTTCCAGAGTAACAAATCCAATGYTTCACAATTATTGTTTAAATGAATCCAGTACGAAGTACAATATAGTGGAGTTCAAGTACTATAAAGACAGATTTTGTTACCAGATTGTTGTCAAACAGCTGGAAAACTCAGCTTTTAACATTACACTTTACAGCAAGAACAAAAAAAATCCCTTTACTCACTGCTAAAACACCAAAACCTTCCAGCCTGGGTATGAAAATGAACACCCAAAATACAAAGAACCACAGCATTGATCAAGTACCCAGTCGAAGACCACTTCTCTGTTGTTGGAGCTGATGGTTACTCGAAGTTTGAAGTTTCCTCCCTCGTTGCTGCAGGGTCCCAGCTGCACAACTTCCATGTCAAATGTCACAGTCGAGCCAGAAGTAACAGCAGGCAGCTGGTTTGTCATCTCTTTTCCATTTACAAATACTGCCCCTAAAACAGCAGATTTAACAGTATTTCTCATTTTCTGTATTTACTGACATGCAAGACCACATCTCCCTGTATTTTGCAGGCAAATAGGGAAGTGACCCTGCTACATTTCTTTTATCACATGAACAGGCTGCAATAAYAGAGATCTGTGACCTCACCAAAGCTTTTTAACAGCACAAGCAGCACATAGATAAAAATTGCTCAGGTTATGCAGGGATCTAAAGGGCTGGGGCTGTGTTTTGGGAGGGAATGCCGTGGTTCTCTCACCGTTGGTGCTGATGCACACAGCTTTGTCCCGCTGCAGGGAGTCGTAGCCGTTCTGCTGCTCCACRCACACTCCCAGGCTGTCCCGGCGGTCTGGCTGCCCCACGGTCTCAATCCTAACCAGCAGAAAGTTAAAYCCCAAAGCTTTAAATCAAAACCTACCATGAAAATCCAGACTGTAATGACCTGTCACACCAGACCCTGATATTGTGCTCTGGGGCTTTCAACAAATTCATCCCAATTTTTGGGGAGATCCCTGTTGAATGACCGAAGTTCCTACCAGCATTCCCAGCAGCTCCATCRATACCTTCTTAATCTGTACAAAATCTGAATGTTTCCTGCAAACTTCCAGAACTATTTAGTAAAATTCTCCACTGTCACAGCTTAGAAATGATCTTTTGAAATGATTTCCAGTTGTCTGAAGCAGACAATACGCTCAACTGGCCAATAAGCTAGACTAGATTAGTGGTCAGCATCACATATTATGGCAAAACAGCTGTAGTTTCAGCAAGGATTTAATGAGCATGACTCAAAGAGATTTTTTGGGCCCTGCCATATTCTGCTGTAATGGGGTGAGGATGTGGTGTTGCTCTAGGGGTTTCTCTGAGTTTGGTTTGGGCTTTTTAATAAATTGGCTTGGTGCAAACCAAGCAATGCCTAGAAGAGCATTTGCATGTCTGGCTTCTGCTCAGCTGCATTTAGGGTTTTAGTCTRAGGAAAGAATCTCAGAAGAAAACGCAAACAAGTTGTGCAAATGACAGGGACTCAGTTCCCTTTGGGCCCTAGCAGAGGAGTGAGGCTGCACAGTTCATATGCTGAAGTGCTCTTCTGGACTTGAGTCCTTTGTCTTGTCTGGCCACCTCTCAAAAGGTGCTAAATTCTACTTTACAGAGATCCTGAGTGACTCAGGAAACTCAGATGGTCTTTTCTAAAAGTAAAGCAGTTATGTGCATTGCAGCTTTAAAGAAAGAACAGATTGACACRTGGTTGTTGGAAGGAAAACTTCTGCAAAGCTTTCAAAACCAGCRATTAAAGGAGGCAGTGGACTGGCACACAAAGGGTTAACTCTTTCGAGRCAAACAAGGAAGATAAAATTGGAACCACATTTTACTTTTGCACTTCATTAGATTTTTCAGTCCCCTGGGAATGTCACTAAGAGAGCAACAGCCTTGCACTGTAAAGCGAAGGGAAAACCATTATTTAAACCTCCAAGAAGCTTTTGCTTTGGAAGGGATCCACAATGTTTTCCCAAGGCAACTTTAAAGGAGATTTCAAATTCATTTTGGTGCACAACAAAAAACCTTGTGTGTTCCACTGCAGCCCAGACTCTGAACCTGGTCAGCCAGCAGCAGTTTCCATTTGCCTCAGAGCACAGAGAGGGGATCACAGCTAATGCCTCAGCTGTCAGCAGAGTTTGGTGGGTTCCTCACAAAGTGTGACCACCATAGGGATCTGCTGGGTGAGCCCAAATCACCAGCCCGGCCAGGATTGAGGCTCCCACTGCAGACAAAGCTTTAGAGCAGTGAAAAGCAGATCACTGTGGAGAAATGTTCCCTTCCCTAAAGGCAGCTCCCTGGAGGCTGCAMAGAAACAGGATGAGACTTGACCTAAAGCAGTGATGTTTTCCTACAGCTTGGCCAAATGTTTCACCTCAGGACAACTGCCACAGTTTATCTTTAAAACATTGATACAAAGCACTGTGTTTATCACAGCTTTGCTTCTCACTGAYGAGCTGTGCCTGGGTCCTGAACACAGAGAACACAGAGCTGCTTGTGAATAATAACTCGTGTTCCAACAGCTGGAGAAAGTCAAGCACCAAGTACTGCATCTCCCTGCCCAGGAAAATCTCTCACACTTCCAAGCAAGAAGCCACTCTCAGACCTTGGAAGAGGAACACAACCAATTTTTGAGGTTGTCTTCAATCTCAAGAGTCGTGTCACGCCAGTTCTTGTGGACACGTGCTTGTGTGAGCCCTGCCATCCTAAACAATCTCTTCTTGGAGAGAARTCCATAACCAAAATGTGAAGCAAAACATTTTCATATGCTACCAATAAAAAATKATAAAAGGCACTGGACTGAGAAAGAACCAAGGGAAACCTCAAAGTTCTGCCTTTAATTTCACAGGCATTGCTGAGCCAAGRGAAGTTAAATCTAGCAACTGATTTCAAATGAAAGCTTTAGATCTTTTCATCCATCTCAGACAGGGCAACTGAATACATCCTCACACTACAACCATCTGAAGTTAACATAATCCATTATCAGGAAGGGAGAAATGAAACACCATGGAGTAAGCCATGAAAGTATCATGAATAGCCCCTTTTAATTGCCTTTGGGGGTTGCCTGCTGTACAGCAAGTAGTTTTATTTAACTGGGGAAARGATGAAATAAAGCTTCATAGTCTCTGGGTCTGTAATTACAACTGACATATCCTTGTACCCCATTAAACAGCAACATCTCAGGGACAGGGCTACAGGCAGTAAAGCTGTCGAGGTTTTTAATCATGTTCTGTGTCAGATGGAAAGCTTGAATTTCACAAGATCCCTTCTCCACTCTGGATTTTYTAATGCCAGTTTCAAGCAGTGATCTGACCAGCTCTAATTAACTCAGATGTTACAGAGATCGCTGCCAGACTGTCATCCCAACAGCACATCAGTGTTTTCATGTCCAAAGTCTTCAGAAGCAGTGAATAGTCTGGGAAGGAAAGCACCCCCTGACCCAAGGCTAAAAGGAACTGGAGGCAAAGCTCCACTGACTTCAGCCACTAACAGCTGCTACAAAACATCAGGAAGTTCAACATTCCACAGATCTGCTCAGCACGGGCTATATTTTACCATCCCTCAGGAGTTCACTCATCTTTCTTTTATGTAAGTGCAGATCCTACAAAAACATCAGGTGTTTTCCTACAAAGCCAGGAAGCAGAACTAAAGGAAGGTCAGATGTCACACAGAGATGCTACCTTGACTGGAGCTGAGCTGATTTAAAACTCCAACACGGTTTGGGGTTACACACAATGGAGACGTGACAGCTCACAGGGGATGCAGCAGCCACCCAAAAAGGACTTACCTGAATGTTAATGTTTGCCCACAGAAATACGTAGGAGCTTTGGAGTAGAGCACACCACACGACTGAGAATCATTCCGAAGCGCGATGTTCCTTCGGCTGCTCAGGCTGTAACCCTCTAGACCAGTTGTCCACTCTTCAAAACAAACAAAAAAACAAACAACAAAGCATGAAAATTGTGAAGCTCAACTCGCTCCTGTCTGTGCCAGGAGACAATCAAGCCAGTCCCAATGTCTATTCAGTCCACCCCATGAAACCTAAGTTATGTTAAGAACAGGGACTGGTTTTGCCTTTTTCTGATGGAGGGATTTGTTTTTCAAATAAATTGCAATTACAAAAAGTATTTTCCAGCTCAGAGTTCACCAGGAGTTCACTCTTTGCTGCAATCCCTGCCAAGTCATACTGTAGGAAAAGGAAAACATTACCCACTGAGCTTAAAAATTTGTAAGTGAAAATTTAAATTTTTCTCTCTCCAAGATAAGAGCTTTTTATGASCTGTAGGTCATCAAAAATGCTTATGTTGGGGTGAGGGAGAAGGAAAAATAATGCTTTTCTTCTGGCTCACTGCTGCTTTCCAAGGCTAAGGAAGCAGTGAGCTACCTGTGAAAGGTTGAGTGTCACATGAGGAAGCAAAAATGAATTGTAGCACAGAGGGACAGCTCATCATGTCACACACACACCCCACAGGCAGGAACACCCCCATCACACAAGCAGCAGCTCTGGGCAGCAGAGGGCTCAGGATGAGCAGTACCATGTGGCACCAGCGTGGTGCGGCCGAGCTGGGGGAYGCTCCAGGGGCTCCACTCCTGCCGCCCGTCGCCGCGGGCGCACACCCGGAACTGGTAATCCACGTTGGGGTCGATGTGCAGCACGATGAACTCCGTCTCTGAGCCCACGTACGCATCCTCAAAGTGGCTGGCTGTGCTTTTGCGGTACTGCAGCCTGTAGTCCTGGGGGATGAAGTCGTCATCCACCTGCAGAAACATTCACTGTGTTCACAAGGACCCCTCTGGTTCTCCCTTTCCCTCTGAAGGGTCACATGTGAGGACAGCACTGCAGTGATCACCTCACAAGGTGTTTCAGAGCAGAAAATGTGCCTCACGGAAAAAATCATCGGTGTCTGAATCAACAAAAAGATGTATCAGAGTTATTTTATTGCAGTTGAAAAATATCTACAGAAGAAGAAACATTTAACAGAAGGCTGTTCATTCTAGCAGAGATATAAAAAGATCCTTCAGCCAAAAGCTGAAAACAACTTTGCACAAGAAATTCTGTGCCTGTTTTTAACAGCAAGGGAAACTTACTGTTGTCCTTCATAAGTTGTTCCAGGGAATGATTTCCAGTTCTTTGATATCTCTCAGTCAAAAGATATTTACACACACACCCCCTCAAAAAAAACCCCTCCATTATCCCCCAGGCACAACCAAATCCAGGGAACTCCTCTACAGCACAGAAAATCAGACCACACATGACAGCAGTGCTTATGGTTTAATAACCTGAGTCCACAACCTTTAAAGTGAAGGGTGGCCAACAAAGACTGGCTGTTGCTAGAACAACTRAAGTTTTGTTTGATGCTGCCAAGGAGCACAGAGCTGTCCAACAACAACTAAACCACATCAGAYCACAGCAGTGGTTTACTCAAAAATAGTTTTAGTGTGTTGAAGAGAAAGGCTACTGCATTAGCTAACACCAATATCAGAATTTTTTTCCTCCTTCTACCCACTGCATCTCCCTAGGAACACAAACATTTAGGGGTAAAAGCAGAACAGAGCAGGTCCAGCCTCATCCTGGGTCTGCTAAAGCAAATGTCAGTGCCAGGCAGACACAAACCACAGCATCAACCACACCATCAGTGGACTACCTCACCTTTAAATGACACCCTTACCATAAAAATGTCTTCTCAAGTTTCTAACAAACCACGGGAATGGACTAGTCCATGGAAAGCAGTAGAGAAAATTCAGAAAGAAAATGGATTGTTTGGTTTTTTTTCCAAAAAGTTATGTCTACAGAATTTTCACACGGAGTATTTTACCTACCTTACACCATCGGACTAAAATACCTCCAGGCTTTTCCACAAATTCCTCCAGCTGCACAGGTGGGCGAGATGCCACAGTTCCATGTCTGAATATTTGATTTTTCAGTATAGTAAGGAGGCAGTCATCCAGCTGGGCAGATAAACAAGGCACATCAACCAAGGAGGGCACTTCTGGTAAGCTGAGAAAGGAAAATTTGCTGTAATGAGAGGGGCCAGCTCCTGCAAATCCATATTTCATCCCTACACTTGAATCTGGGCAGATTTGCAAAGAGAGAACAGCTGCAGAAATTGGCACGTGCACTCCGAACTTAAAAGACTCAGCAAACATTGTGTTTTAGCCCTAACCAGACTGTTTCTCAGTAAATACCCTGAAACACAGGCTGCTCCACAGGGAGTGGCTTCATCCTTCACAAATAAACAGCCTCTATTTCCACAGGACATATGGAGGGTGAAACCCACTCCATTCTGTGAGTGCCAGCCCCAATGAAAGTCTGTGGAACAAACAGGACAGCAGCACCTCGAATGGAGCTTTTGAGGCAATGGAGCAGAAAGCTTTTGTTTCAAAGGAGAAAAGATYCCCTACAAARAAGGGCACATGTGGYACTGCCTCAAACCACCTCAGAATGTTGGTGTCTTACCTATCTAGCTGAATATGTAAAGCTTTTTTTGTAAAGTTGCAAAGTTTCTCATTCTGTTGTCCCACATCTCCATCGACTGCACTCTCTCCTGCAACCAAACAGTGAAAATATTCCTAATGAGACAACGTCCACAGAAGGCATTCTTTGCTTCAAAGAATAACCAGTTCTGACACGAACAACCAATTAAAGGTGAAGCATTCCCAGCACTTTTGCTAGTCTTAGCTAGAAAATACAATTATAGGTAACAATATAAAGCCTATCCAGCAACTTTTGAAGCTTTTAAAGCTACCTGTAGACACACCCATAACAGATGYAATAATTTGCCTCAGGTCTCAGATAGGAGGAGAACTGGGGTCAGATGCCAAAAATCAGGATTATTAATCCCTTCCTCCACCAGTTTTAAATKAAGAAAAAAGCAAAGCAYCTTCACTGATYAGAAAAYAAAAAAGCAGGCACTTRAAARCAAGAAATAATTTCAACCATTGTTTTGTTTTCTACAATCAAAATGGTATTATTATTATCATAATGAAGGAAATAATCATTCCATTAAATAGGTAAACAAAAATACTTTCCTAAGCTTTCCATATAAAGTAGCATCCCACACTTAATCTTACAGAGACAGTCTCCTGTCTTTAGGGTAATTTAAACTTCAGCAAGCTCAGTCCTTTTCCAAGTGGAGGATTACACAGTTACAAATGTCTGAAGGAAAGCACACGTCATCATTGGCAGCAGGAGATTTAATAACCAGGGAGGTTTAACTCCTTTCTGACTCAGCTGAAACGTGTGCTCGTCCTTCCCACAGCTCTCAGTGATGCTCCTGCTGAGAGCAGCAGGGGACGGGAAAGGCACTGAGTCAGCTTCTCATGAGACCCCAGAGAATCCCACATATCACACAGGCAATCCTTGCCACCACCCCGATTGAGTAACCTGAGATGGAAAATAAAACCAAGGTGACCACCAGCTGTCCCAGAGTCGTGGTGGTGGACAAAACCCCCAACAAAATTAATCCTTAAACATTGTCACTGCTCCCACGAGCAGGAGGCACGCAGCTCCCAGGCCAGCACAAAGCTCAGGGCTGAGGAGGAACTGGGAGCTTTCCCACCCCTGGGACACAGCTCAATGTGCTCAGCTCCCAGAACTGAGCTCATGCTGAAAGAAAGCTAAAGTTGAGACACGAGAACAATGCAAGGAAACTGCCAACACACTCATGGCTCAGACATGCTCCCAGTAGGTTCTCCAGCCTGGGGAAAACAGGCAAGAGTGACATTCCTTTCTGACGAGGTATTTAGCATCAGTAGGGTATAGTCTGGCCCTTACAGCAATATTCCACTGTCCATTTTTGTCTGCCTCATCCTCAGACTCTTTGGAGAAATTTTCCCCATACAATGGCCATTTCGTTCCTCATGCTCCCAACCAACAGWGAAAATAATCAAACTTAGCAGCACAATCTACTTAATTCAGCTGCTATTTCAGCAAAATAGAAATAACTCACTTCACTAAAATAGACACTGCTACAATGGTACCCACAATGTATTTTATTTCAAAGYAGCCTGACACACTTCTCTTTCTAGCCTGGATAGGTACAGAACGTCTTGGCAGTGAAACAATTCCCAAAAAGGTTCTTCCTGCCCTTTAGGAGAGTCTGACATATGTACACCCTAGGACTGGAGGGAAATGTTGAAATGCAGATTTGTAGGAGATAATATTGATCAACTCTTCACTACATCTACCCACATTTAACCTTTGCTTAATTTGGTTTGAGCTAAGTACAAAATACACTGATCACACCGGGAACATTGTAGACTTTTGACAGCCACACACTGGAAGGCAGAGCTGACTCAGCAGCAGGTTCTGCCTCACCTTCACGGAGCAGATCATCGGCCGTGCTGACKCCGTGCTCGATCAGCTTCTGGCACTCATCCAAGGGCTTGATGCTCTCTTGCTCTATCACATCCACTTCYTGCAGCAGGGACATCAGTCGTTCATCCAGCAGCTTCTTCAGGGTCCCTTTCAAATCGCTAAAATGCTGCTCAAGCACATCTCTGGTCAGTGTTGCACTTTCTTTGATCTGAATTTGGTAACAGRAAAGAAGGACTCAGAATAAAGGCAAAGGCYATGCACATCTTTTATTTTTCTGATYCATCTCATCTGCATTTGCTGTAAGTGGAGTCTGCTTTAAAAATGACCACTGGCAGGGGACAAATTAGTGAAGTCATTTTTAGTACGTGTACAGCAAGGATGRAGGCAAAGAAAAGAGCCTGGATGAGGGGAAGAGCATATTAATGAAGCAAAATACAAACTGGGTTATGGATGCTTCACTCAAGAAATTTTTCTTGTTCTGTAGGTCTCCTCCCTGCTGCCCCTCAAAAAAAACCCTCACTGCTGTAATCCTACTCAAAACCCACTCTGCCATCATTTACAGGTAATCCTTGCAAAGAAAAACGCTTTTAGAAAACTGTCTAGAAGTATTTTCCAAGCCTTATCATTTCGTTGGATTTTTTAAATCCTCCTAAAACTTCTTCCTTTTCAATTTTGTTCAAACAGCCACCCTTGGTGATGGGACAGGGTGAACAGCAAGTCTGTTCTGATTCCGGAAGAACCCGACCGCAGAAGATTCTACAAGTGCTTATTAAAATGTCTGCAAACTTGCTGAATCTGACTTTGAGTGCAGAAAACAGACTTGAACATCCCTGAGCTAAAGATGCAAAAATCAGAAGTAAACATCTCCTGTGAAGAGCTTTTTTAAGTCACGCACACAAGGAAATGCTGCAATACGCTCACGGCCTCACACGTAATTTCTAGATCTTTAGAAGTACAGACAACTAACACAGGAAGTTCTCTGGTTAGGTAAAATAAATTTCCTCTTCARCTAATATTCATGAAGCTCTGCAGCTGCCACACAGTTCAGTTTCCCTTTTCTTGTAATTTCAATGCTTGAGGGAAAAAAAGGAAGTATTCGGCTTTGTGAAGGGCTGGGCCAAAGGAAGGCAGAACAGTCACTTCTCCAAGCTCTTTAGCTCTGTTACAGGCAGATATAAATTCAGCAGCTCAGCCCCAGAATTAGATACTGCTCATCATGCAAAAGAGGAAATGCAAGCCCCTGAACACACAGAGCTGTGTGAAGTTTGTGGAAAATCACGTCCCATTGGTCCAAAGGAAAAGGATGCAACRTAAGTGATCCATTCCTGTCACATCAGCCCACCAGTTCCCAGATAAGATAACTTCCACTATCTGAATCCCAGTCTAGCATATTCAGCACTTTGGGACACAGAGAGCGCTTGGATGTGGTCCTGAGGATGGAAAGAGGAAAGCAGAAACATGCACACAGCAAAGAAATTCCCCCTGAGAGGAAAAGGAAAGGTGAGCTAACTACACACTCCCTGCACAAAGGCACACGGGCTGTGTCTCACTGCACTTGGGACTGCCAAACAACACTTGGAGATGACAAGGTTTGGATTAAAGACAGCCACAAACAATTCATTTTCTTAAGCACCCTGTGGTTTCAATGCTGACTAATTAAATGTACAGTGATCACCCACACGCACTGGGAGCAGGATAGTCACTCACATTTACAGCAGGTTTCTACACTAACGGGATTTGCTCCAGAAAAACGAGCAGGTCACCACAGAAACACTCTCTTAATTTGGTTTTGTTTGGGTTTTTATTTACCCCTTGCAGAGCTGAATCAAAGACAGAAATGCAAAACCCCAGATGCTGAGAGGCTGCCTGAGCACTGTGGCTCTCAATCAAAGACAGAAAGGCAAAACCCCAAATGCTGAGAGGCTGCCCGAGCACTGTGGCTCTCCCTGCCCACACCTATMTCCTCCTGCATCTCCCGGCGGGTGGGTCACGGTCCCGGTGGAAATCTCCTGTGGCTCCAGTGCTTGGCTGCAGACAAACCAGCTAACCTGGAATGCTGGCAGCACTCCTGCTGACCCACAGAGTACGTGAGCCAGGCACTGTGGTGCATGGGGACAGCAGCCTTTAGCACAGCATCCAAACCAGGGAGCAGCTTGCCCAGGAAGATATAGGATGTGAAGATGGGTATGACACTCCCTATTAAATCAGACTTAGCATCCCAGTTATCTTCGAAAACGTAATTCCTTAAGATCTTCATTGCTGTCTGGGAAACCTCCCTCTCGTCCCAGAAAATGAAGCTCAGCTCAGTAACAGAATTCAGCTCGCACCCCTTTCCTTCCACACGTCCCACATCTGCCTGTTCCATCTCCGGCACGCACCGAGGCCACAGGCCGGTCCCAGGGCTCTCATCACTCCCGGTACTGCGGGGCTCCCCCGCTCCTTTCGCACCCGAGCCCCATCCCCGCTCTCCCGGGGGGCAGGGACCACAGACAAACACCCGACTCCGGGAGAGGAGCGGCCGCCGCCCCGGAGGGGACCCTGGAGCCGAACACCCCCACCGGCCCCACCGGCAGGCACCGTCCCGGGGCAGCTCCCGAGAGCCGAGCCCCGTCCCGTCCCGTCCCGTCCCGTCCCGTCCCGCTTCCGCACCTGCTCCCGCGCCTGATGCAGCCCCCGCAGCCGCTGCTGCAGCTCCCGCCGATAGCTCCGCGCCGCCTCGATGCTTTCCCGAGCCTCCTGCAAGAGGAGCCGCGCCTCGGCCTCGGCGGCGGCGGCCTCCATGGGCAGCCGCGGCGGCAGCGAGGCG